GCAAGCAGAGATGGAAAAAGGTGCTGGAGATGTTGTTGTTGCTGATATTGTGGAAGAAGATGATGCTGAAGGGAAGTTCAAGGAAGGGGTTAGGTTCTTAATAGTATTGTTGAGGCCCGCGTTAATCACGTATTTGCTTGGAGAGGATTCAAAATCCTGATCAGATTAGATCTAAGTAAGAAGAAAAAGTAGTGTGAGGAAGTGTGTGAATGATGATGGTCGTTGGAGGTGTATGGTTGCTGATGGAAGATGAGTTTGCTGGCTTCTGTTACGAGACCCGCATGAGGGGTCCTTGAGATAAAAAATGAAGAAGGGATGAAGATGATGGTCCTCTGTAACTGGTCTCTTTGCTCTCCTTAAATTGACAAAAAAAGAAACTGACGAGGGCGGGTAGTCATCGCCGGTGCCAGAGGCATGTTGCATGGGGCACTGACAAGGAGCGGCTTCTGGCAGGCTTTCAGTGGAAGGGGCACATGGATGAATCGAAAATACACCGGAATGAGAGGGATATGGAGACTGTGTAGGTATGAGACTATAAGCTTAAAGAAATTGATTTGACTACTCATATCACCAAAATGCATTTGCTTTTCGGTAGCCTAACTCATAAGAACTCCATGGTTAAGTGTGCTTAGACGTTACAGAACACATCCCCTAATATGAGATACCCTTTGTCTTTTTTTCCTCTTTTTTCTTTTTTTTTTTTAACAATGCATATAAGTATATAACACTTAAGAAAACAATCTTGATCCTAAGAAGCAAATGAAAAGAAAAATAAAAAAGAAAACTTTGATAATTAAAACAAATAAAAATAAATATATACATAGATAAAAAAATATATATAATACCAAACAAATAAAAATAAACACAATAAAATAAAAGATAAAAAACAAAGGATTAAAACATAATAATAAATGTACGAGAAGAGAATAAAAACACAAAAAATAGAAAAGTAATAAACGAAAAAGAAAATAACAACAAAAATCCCCTTTTTTTATTTCTTTTTCTTAATTCTAGACGTTTTTATCTACCCGGACGAAATTGGGTAATGACAACAGTTTTGTGCATTATGTTCATATTATTGCCATTCTAGTTTAGGACATTTATTTGATGAAAAATGAGCTACTTGAAACCTAAACATCCCTACACACGTATTGCTAAGTTAATAGCTGTGATACTTGTCATCTTACCAAACAGAAAAGGCTAGCGTTTCCTAGTAGTGTTTATGTTGTAATTTGAGATAATAGCTTTAGAATCTTCCTAATTAGAGGAAATAGACATATAATCTTTATTTTATTTTACTTTCCTAGTTTTTCTGTTTCCCTTTATTTTACTTTCCTAGTTTTCCTATTTCCCTTTTTAAGAGAATTAGATTATTACAAATAGAGAGTATTAGAATGTATTTTTCATGATTGAGAATAATAAATCAGTCTTATTTTCCACATGGTATCAAAGCTTGTCTGATCCGCTTCCGCTGTCTTTGCTATCTGCCGGCGGCCGACCACCATGGCCGCCGACAGCCCCCTAAAAGTTTCTTCTTTAACATATGTTTTTAATGGGCTCCAATTGCCCTAGTAAAGTTCTACCTTAGAATTCTAGTTTTTTCTCCAACATTACCAACACGTCTGTCTTTCTCATAACAACTACACAAAATTGTGCTTCTAGAATCTAGCCTAGCTATAAGCTATACTTCCAAAGTTCAATCTGACCTAGCTATAAGCTATATTTCCAGAGAGTTGAATCTGACCAAGCTATAAGCTATATTTCCAGAGAGTTGAATCTGACCAAGCTATAAGCTATACTTCCAGAATTTGTCTCAGAATGAGATTCCTCAGACCAGTAGTTGCACCTGTAGTTTAAGTAATGCCCATAGTTGGCATCTTCACTGACTTCCAATCAGAATCCTCGTTCACTGTATTCCGTTGTACACCATCGCTCTCCGCTGCTGGTCACGGTCACAGTTTTGACCGGTGACCAGCGGATCTAGATCATCTCTTTCAATATTTGTTAATATATTTTTTCCATTCATATAATCATATTTTATGCTGATAGAATAAAGAAAGAAACTTAATACAAGTAATTCATTAACATTCCAATGGTGAAACATAACAACCGTCAATCTAGTAAGCATGTAGACAAGAGTCATAAATATGAAAGTAAAACCCTAAAAGAATATATCTTTATTAAATAAATAAATTAAAAGAAAATTTATTGAATAATAAAAGCATAAATCAATAATATATTGAGTGCGTCAAAATTATCATTATTATGAATATGTTAGTTGAAGATATTTTAAATTGGTTGTATAATTTATTAATTTGAAAAATCAATTTTCCTTAATTTTAATATATTTATGGTGTCGACTACAAGCTTCACTAATTCTGTATTTTTGTTTTATAAAATATTGCCGAAATAAGTGATAAACACGATGTGGAAAAAGCTCTGAAATTTGAGCGCAAATGAAAGAGAAAGTGAGAGGACATGTTTGTGGAGTGCAGTGACAGGGAGAGAGCGTAGTTGGTACGCAATTATAAGGTTGGTATGACTTGACTCCTTGTATGAACACTCCTCGTCAACAAAAGCAAAGGGGGACCACTCCTTTTAAGAAAACAACACGCTGTATTCATTGCCATGGCTACCAATTGCCAATTCAACTAAATGACGCGTAGTTAATGAAGATTGATAATTTTCTACGATCACCACAAAATACTCTTCCCGATTCTTCCTTCTCCATAGTCATAATCATTCCAAAAACCCTCTTTTCTGTAAATGGCTGAGGCTTTGCTCGGAATTGTAATTAAAAACCTGCAATCTTTTGGCCAAGACCAACTTGCAACGTTTTGGGGTGTTCACCGACAGACTCAAAAGCTTTCCAGCAATCTCACCGCAATTCGTGCTGTCCTCAGAGATGCTGAGAGAAAACAAATCACAAGTCATGCTGTCAAAGATTGGCTGCAGAAACTCACAGATGCAGCATATGTGTTGGATGATATCTTAGATGAATGTTCAATTCACTCCACAAAAGTGAATTTTGATGATGCACATACTTCATGCCTATCCCGTCTCCATCCTAATGACATTCTCTTTCGTTTCAATATTGGCAAGAGGATGAAAGACATCACCCGAAGATTTCATGACATTCACGAAGAAAGGAGCATGTTTAATTTAGAACCCGGTGTCACAGAGGTCCAAACAATCCATGATAATTGGCGCCAAACTAGCTCTGACATTACAGAACCTGTAATTTATGGCAGAGACCAGGATCGAGAGCAAATTGTGAAGTTTCTTCTGGAAGACGCTAGTAACAGTGAAGAGGTCTCTATCTTTCCCATAGTTGGTATGGGTGGACTTGGAAAAACAACATTAACCAAGAAGGTTTTCAATGATCACAGGATACGCAAACATTTTGAATTGACAATTTGGGTTTGTGTTTCTGATGATTTCAACACCATGACAATACTACAATCCATCATAGAATGCATCGCCGGACAAAATCCCAATATCAATAGCTTAGAAGCAATGCGGAAAAAGGTTGAAGACGTGTTGCATGGGAAGAGGTATTTACTTGTTCTTGATGATGTGTGGAATGAAGACCCAGAGAAATGGGAGCAGTTGAAGGGAAAGTTGCAGTGCGCAAGGGCAGCAAAAGGAGCTACCATTTTAGTCACTACTCGACTCGAGGAAGTTGCTTCCACCATGCAGACGCATCCTGCTTACCGTTTGAAAGAATTGCCAGGAGACGAAAGTTGGTCATTGTTCAAACACCATGCGTTTGGACCAAACAGAGAAGAAACGGAAGAACTCGTGTCAATTGGCAAAGAGATAGTGACAAAATGCGTGGGTTCGCCGCTTGCAATAAAAACATTGGGAAGCCTATTACGTGATGAAAGTGACGTAAAACAATGGCAGAATGTAAGGGAAAGTGAGATTTGGGATATACGGGAGGAAAGTAGTTCTGCGACAGGTGAGGAAAATTCTATCATGCGTGCTTTGAAATTAAGCTATTTTAATTTGGACTTGTCATTGCGGAGATGCTTTTCTTTTTGTGCAATTTTCCCCAAAGATTTTGAAATAGACAAGGAAGAACTTATTCATCTCTGGATGGCTAATGGATTTATTAAATGTGAAGGAAATGTAGAAGTGGAGGATGTTGGAAATAAAGTGTGGAAAAAATTATACAGTAGATCATTTTTTCAAGAAGCTAAGTATGATGAATTTGGTATGATCACAACTTTCAAGATCCATGATCTATTTCATGATCTTGCCCAGTCTATTATGGGTGAGGAATGTGTGGTTATTGTGAAAGGAAGGTTGACTCCGTTGTCAAGTAGAGTTCACTATTTATCTTCTTATGCTTATGTTCGAGGATTCAAGTATGCTTTCAAGAAAGTTGAATCCCTGCGGACTTCTATTGGTACTTATTGCGTGGTGCCATCAAACCATTCTCTCCGAGCATTATGCACAAGCTCTTCTTTGTTGTCCCCACTCAAGGATTTAACACGTTTGAGATATTTGAGTCTGACTTGTTATTCTAAAGCAAACTTAAATAACTTTATTTGTCAAATGCCGAAATTGCAAATTTTGAAATTGCAAAATTCAGCATGTCTTCATGGACTGCCCAAAAACTTGACGCAATTACAAGATCTAAGACATATTGTGATGGATTATTGTAATTCAGTAGTAGAGACGCTTCCCAAAATTAGCAAGTTAAGGCATCTAAGAACACTAAGCATTTTCGTGGTGGGTTCAAAGCCAGGGTGTGGCTTAGCAGAGTTGCATAGCTTAAATCTGGGGGGCAGGCTAAGAATCAGAGGCCTTGAGAACGTCCCCAATGAATGGGATGCTAAACAAGCAAATTTGATTGGTAAGAAGGACTTGAATATCCTGCAGTTGTCATGGGATGGTAATGCTAATCCAAAAGGTAGTAATGTAAGTGTGGAGAGAGTACTGGAAGCCCTAGAACCACCTTCAACTCTGAAGAGTTTTGAAATGAATGGTTATCAGGGAAGGCATTTATCGAGTTGGATGAGAAATAATTCAGTTTTGAGAGACTTGGTGAAAGTTACACTCTCCGACTTTGACAACTGTGAGGAGCTTTTCCCACTTGGTAAACTAGCACACTTGAAAAGGCTAAACGTGAGTGAAATGAAAAATGTGAAGTGGATAGATGGTGAGACGTATGACGGCGTGGAGGAGAAGGCATTTCCATCGTTGGAGAAACTGATTGTTGATAATTTACCAAATTTGGAGAGGTTGTTGAGGGATGAAGGAGTAGAGATGCTCCCTCGTCTTTCCCAATTAACAATTGAAGGTGTGTTGAACTTTAAAGTCCCACGTCTTCCTTGTGTTGAGGAACTTAGTGTTGAAAGGATTGGCGAAGCGGCTTCCTTCATGGAAGTTGTGGGGAATATGGCTTGTCTAAAGACCTTGAGCATTATTGGCGTTAAAGGAGTGGTGGTATTACCCGTCGAATTCAGCAGGTTGGGTGCACTACAGACACTATTCATTGCAAACTGGTATGACGTGGAGTATTTTCCAGAACACGTGCTAGAAGGTCTAACTTCTCTTCGAATTTTGGACATTTCTAACTGTAAGAAATTGAAATCGTTGTCTGAAGGTGTGCGACATTTGGCTCGTCTTGAGAGGTTGATGATCAGTGGTTGTCCAGCGCTGGTGGCTCTACCAAGCAATATGAGTCAACTATCTGCCCTGCGGTACGTTTTAATTGAATATTGCTTCACATTACCAGATGGCTTACAACGTGTCCCCTCCCTACGAGTTTTATATATATACGAATGCACGTGTACTTCATTGCCGGACTGGCTGGGAGACATGACTACTCTTGAAGAATTAAGAATTCATTGCTGTTGGGAGTTGAGGTCACTGCCGAGTAGCATTCAACGCCTCACCAACTTGTCTCGTTTAAATATACGCGAATGTCCTCATCTGAAAAAGCGATGCAAGAGGGAAACAGGAGAGGATTGGCAATACATAAAGCATATTCCAAAAATAGAACTATATTTCTGGAGGGAACCGACAGTTTTGTGATGAATTCAAGAGTATTTTGTTTACTTCTCCCCGTAATGTGTCACTCTGTCTTTGAAAATTTTGTGTAGCCTTTTTCGCGTTATATATATATATATATATATATATATATATATATATATATATATATATATATATTAAATATAAACAAAGTTTGAGTATTCCCCAGATTTATGGTTGATGTTTGGCACGTACCGTACCAAGTTCTGATTTCGTATAGGATTAAGCTTAGTCACTAACGAGGATGACAAAAATATATGGAACCATTGCTATCCTAATATAAAATCCGCTACAAGTACTGTATGATATTTCAAACAGGTATTCATAATTAACAATGACAGATAATTTAATATACATTTAGGCTTAATACCCTACTTTGTCCCCAGTTTTGTTCAAAAATGTCAAATTAGTCAATCCTTTAAAAAATGCGTCAATTACGTCCTCACTTAATAAAATTTGCATCAATGAAATCCTTCTCGTTAAATCCGTACAAACGGCGTTAATTATTTTTCTTTTTCTTTAATTAACGCCGTTTGTACGGATTTAACGGAAGAGATTTCATTGATGCAAATTTTATTAAATGAAGATGTAATTGACGCATTTTTTAAATGATGGACTAATTTGACATTTTTGAACAAAACTGGGGACAAAGTAGGGTATTAAGCCATACATTTATAAACAAGTCGAAATATTTACTATATGTTATTTGTAAAAACAATAAATTAAAATTCAATTTATATTTTATTAGATTAAATTTAAATAAAATTAAAATTTATTTTTATATTTAATTTAATTTGCATTATAATTTAAATTAATTACTTATAATATATTTAAATTTATTTTAAAAAATCTATAAATTATTTTATTTTAAAATATTTACGAGTATCAATATATTTTCTAAATGTATATAAGGTGAATAATGGGATAGATAAGGTTGAATTTTCTAATGCAGGTTGGATAGTGGCTAGACTTTATCCATATCTGATCCAATATATAGTCATGTCCAAATAAAATAGTAAAAGAAAATAAGTTTTTATGTACAATTTCTAAGTGATATAATGTCATATATAAAATCTATTGTATTCTTTCTTTAAGCTATCTTTTTATTCTTCACCTCAAGATTTTACTAAAATCCTTCTGTTGCTGATCTGGATTGCTTGCGTGATGCTATGAATAAGCTTAGCAATGATTTTTGTACCGTCCGGTCCTCCCGACATATAGACCGAGCGAGCGGTTAACCCAATGTCGCCCACCTAGGTCACAATCAAGAACGAACGTCCAAACGAACGATTGTCCGAGCTTTCATGGAACGAGCTGTCTTCCAAGGTCGCCCATCCAGGCATGGACAAAACCCCTTCGTACAATAAAATTATGCTCGGGTTTGGGGGGCTTATGAACCGACAGGTCCTCCTGGCATAGACCGAGCGAGCGGTTAACACAATGCCGCCCACCAAGGTCACAATCAAGACCGGGCGTCCAAACTAACATGTACCGACCGGTACTCCCCAGTCATAAACCGAGTGACCCTCCAAGAACGTTCGGTTCATGAATGGACCGAACGTCCAGCCAAGATGCAATCAAGACCGAGCGTCCAGCCATTCAGGAACCGAACGTCCACCCAAGATGGCACGTCCGCCCAAGATGGCAATCAGGACCGAGCGTCCGTCCAGTGTGACCAGATAGTAGAACCAGATGGACGCCCACCCAGGTTGAAATCCCTGGCCGACCATCATTCCCAACTGACCGCACTTTATCGACTACACAGTTAAACGCTAATGATTCATTAGAGCCCTTAACGAAGATTAAGGTATGATTGGGCCGTTATTAGGCCCACGAAAGGTAAAAGCCCATTACAATCAGTATAAATAAAGGATTCCAGGTATGAGTTCTTGACAGATTGCTTAGAACGCAATATATGCATGCATTACATATCGCTATGTCATATTACTGACTTGAGCGTCGGAGTACCTTTGGCAGGTACCCGACCACCCGGCTTGGAGTGGAGAACGACCACCAGGAGGGCATAAGGAGAAACACTTCCCAACGCGTCCAACTCTCGCCAAAGAGGTGACCGTCCGTCCAGTCTTGGTCCGGCCTTCTTCAGCTCGTGGGATTCAGCAATGACCGCTCGGTTTGCGTCAACTTCTAGTGTCCCCTGCGTTAGAGCCGCTCGATCCGCTTCAGCTGGAGAGAAAGCGTCCGCCCGGTTCATAGTAGTTTCATTGTTCGTCCGTCAGCCTTTACCGTTCGGTCTGCGTCCGTCCGGTTTTCAACAGCACCTAGAGCGTCCAGGCGTCCGTCCACCCGTAGCTAGCCATATCATCCGCCCGCCAGCCAACGTTCGTATGTTTTAGCAGGGTCCGCCACAGATCCGGTCGAAACAATTTTAATAAGATCAATTCTCTATGTAATCAATGATGCTACTTTCCAAAGTGATTTCAAATTTTGATCTGCAGTAAATATAGAATTGTATGTGCCTCAAGTTGTTCCAAAATTTAGATCTTGAATTTGTTTAAAAATATTGTTTATTGAATTGCTTTTGAAAGTGTAAGTGGTACAATATTGTGTCTAAAGTTCCTCTGCTATTATGCTGCAACTTATACTTCACATATGCTCAAATAAGATTATGATGCCTTTAGCATATTATTGGGCCAATCTGGCATTCAGGGTCAAAATGTTATGTAAGGTTAAGTTAGATTTAAACTATTTTTTAAGATAATATTACTGTCTAATCTAGATTCATTAAAATGGTCACTTATATATGTGTAAAGCCAGATACTGACTTCGGACAATAGGTATTGGGTAAAATCTAGGTCTCGTTTTGTAGGACTCTGTGATATCAGATATATTTGGATGATTTTGCTGAAACACAAATTTGAAATAGGCCAACGAGGCACATAGCATTGTATATATGTGCCTCAAATTGGTCTAAAATTTGTTTTTGAGTTTGTTTAAGATCAAATATTGTTTACTGAATTGCTTTTGAAAGTGTAAGTGGTACAAAAATGCAGAATATTGTGTCTAAAGTTCCTCTGCTATTATGCTGCAGCTTATACTTCACATATGCTCAAATAAGATTAAGGTGCCTTTAGCACATTACTGGGCCAATCTGGCATTCAGGGACAAAATGTTTTGTGGAGTTTAAGTTATTTTGTTCGATAGTATTACTGTCTAATCTAGATTCATTAAATGATCGCTTGTCCTGTTTATACCTGTGTAAAGCCAAATACTGACTTCGGACAATAGGTATTGGGTAAAGTCTAGGTCTCGTTTTGTAGGACTCTGTGATATCAGATATATTTGGATGATTTTGCTGAAACACAAATTTGAAATAGGCCAACGAGGCACATAGCATTGTATATATGTGCCTCAAATTGGTATAAAATTTGTTTTTGAATTTGTTTAAGATCAAATATTGTTTACTGAGTTGCTTTTGAAAGTGCAAGTGGTAGAGACATATGAGGTCGTTTAATTAACATGTATGCAGTCTTATTTTGAATTATTTATTTAACATGTATAAAAATTAATTTTGAAAATAATGTTTTGAAAATCTGTGGAAACTCATAAATTTGATTCAAAATAGGTGTGTAGGCTTGAGTTTGGATTCAATTGTTTGTGTTTGCAATTCTACAAGGATGAATCTACTAGGCTACAAGATATCATTTGAGAAACAGAGCACATCAATAAGAAATGGTTAATTAGTTAGTTTTGTATAATCACAGTGCTATGAGTAGCAGAAGATATTTGCAGTTTGATAAATGGTTTCGGTGGTAGTTGTAATTTTAAAACCATGTAAAGATGCACTGATCTATTTCTTCTGCCACTGTGACCTTTGTCAGTGCCTTAGATAACTTTGTGAACTGACCTTCTCATCCTATAAATAAAAGATTCCTCTATTGGATTCTTTATATTTGAAATTTGTGAAATGAGCTTTCTTTTGTCTGATTGAGTTTCTTGGCAATTCGATTCTATTAGTTAGAACCATAATGCGTTATTTATTTGCTATGGTTGTTGTGGCCACAAAAGTATTTCTTAAAATTTTAAAATTTATGTCAAAGTAATAAAAGAACATTAGCATTGAACAAGACTCGCAAAAAACAATTATTCAACAATGGAAATACACACAATAGGAATTACATGTAGTTAATAAAATAAATTTAGTTGAACCACAAATTTATTGACAGATTTGAACCATTTTGCAAAGGGAATACACTTTGTTGTGCTTGGAAACAAGTCATTATTTTTTTGCCAAGTACCCAAAATTCAACATACCAGAACATATAGTGTCAAATAACCAAAAAACTTGAATCCTTATGAAAATCTTCAAGTGTTAAACTAATGATAAACTTTCATTTGAAAATTATCTGATAATGGGCATAATTATTTAGTTTACTTGAGTTGGTAATCTTTTACCGAATGACAACATGCCAGTTGATATGATTTTAAGTATGATTATAGCCATTTTATTTATGGATTCAAGAACTCACTCCTTTTTCAGTCCTCTAATTTGGCTAGCTCCTCAGTATATTAAATAAGTATATTTTTTGTTCACAAGCTAGATATATTAGAGACAGATGCAAAGCTTTACACGATGTAAGAATCTAACATGAAATGAGCTATTTCTGCTGAATGAGACCGGAGAAACTCCTGCAACGTCTGTCCAGAAACACTCACTCTACTCCTCCGATCGGTCCTTCCTCTCTTCACTCCATACGCTCGGGTTTGATCACAGTGTGTTGACCTGCAGCAAATACTCCGACGCTCAAGTCAGAATGGGCTATCGCAAGTCTATAACTATAAAATTGAACAGAGAGTTTACCTTCCCTTTTGACTTCTATTTATATGATTACAGGGAATATTATTCATTAATTTACCTCTTAATGGCTTTCAATGCTCTCTTTAAATACTCGACAACGACCGTTACCTCATTAACTGTATCTTCATGAGCATTCAATGGTTGTCTCCATTCTACTATCTTACGCACTTGCCCGATCGGCCCTGTTGTGAGTCACCCGATCATACCTCCCGATCGGATACCTCCCGATCGGTTACCTACCCTCGGTAATAACATAAGCCCCGGTCGGTT